GACACTCGGCCGACGAAAGTTTAACTTTACGGAATCGTCGGCTCATAAATAACGGAGGAAATCTGGAATCCGGGTTATTCGAGCTACAGAGGTATCTCCAAATCTGTTTAAATCGTATCTGTCAGATCCTTTGAATTACAACTTGACATTATGGGATCTGAAATTCGAGGATTTATGTCAGATACAAAGATGTAGGTTCAAATACCGTGCGTCGCCGACTCTCCGGCGATGCAGCGTACCTTTGTAATATTTCAACAACGACATTTATGTAACTTTAGCGAACGCGTTTAACTACTAGGACGATCGTTTGTCCAGATTTTTTATTTTCATTAGCTTATTTATAGATGTTGCGCAATGTGCATTGCGGTCGTTAAGTTCAGGTTTCTGTCCAATTTTGAAAAGGGATCACCTGACGACCGATTGCGGCCGGTTCTTTAAAACCGCTGTTATTCTCTCGGAACTAAGTATCCAATAAGAAATATATTGTCTTACTTATATAAGAATGCGACTGGATCGTTGCGTCATGGTTAAAGAGACTTCTAGTACCAGTGAAATACGCCACTTCGTACTACAATTGCTTTTATACCCTTGAAACATCGACTTCCTCGAGATTCATTCTCGGATCAAAAACGAATGATAGCCGCTTTCTTTCCGGCAGCCGGCTTATTAAATCGGCACCGGAAGTGTTCGCGAAGGTTTCGTCGTAAAGAAGCAGGGACTGTTTGGGCAGAGAGCGGAGCCAACGGTGCGGATTCTCGCTGTTAATGCAGGTTTTGTGCGAATTCACCGACGTCTACGTTTCCTCGGAGGAATTGCTCCGTCGCGAGCTTGGGGAAAGGCAAATGCTTTACGGAACGGCGAATGAATCGCGCGATAAAACGCGGCACGTTAAAACGCCCCTCGGCATCCACTTTCGTTCACAAAGGGAGCCGGTTGCTTCTTTCCTCGCTTTTCTTCCCGCCTTCCTTCCCTCCCTCGTCATCTGTTTCGCGAGAAACGCGTGTACTTTTCGCGTGTAAACTCTTTCCAATCTAATTCCACCGCCGACAGCGATACTCGCGTTCAAAGACGTTTCAAATCGTTCGAGTGCCACGGGCGATTGCTGGGATACGCTCGAAAAGAGACACAATGCGATCGTTTATCACAGTTTTTGTCTTATCCAAGATAAATTTAGTATACATCGAGTTGTTATTAGAGACGGGATTTAAATTGCATCGATATCTGTTGACTTGCAATTTAAATGCACCTCCTGGCGATGAAATTTATTAGCCGATGAATACGTTTCTCATTTCCGTGATAAAAGGCAATTTAATAGCAATTAATTTAAGTCACTGCTCGATACGCACCGCAATTTCCGTGCTGGTACGAGTAAAATGTTTAATGGCAAACGATAAACGATGAAATTTAGCGAAACTCGAGTTCATAGCGTTTCGAAATACCTGTCGATTTTAATTTCGAGAATTTCAACGGCTTTCACATTTGATCACAGCCAGGATATTAAAAGAGACGGAAAGGTACGTCTGATGAAAATGCTCCAGGCAGTCTGTCAGTTGTTCCTACAAAAAGATGGACGAGTTTCCTCCCTTTCTCTGTTCCACGGATTCTTCCGTTCGCCCCGTTCGTTTGCTAATTTAATCTTCTTTTTTAATTTCTTTCTTTTTTCACCTGTTATATCTTCTAAGTTCTACTACATATGGTTTTACATTACTAGCGTTAGTTATCTGCGACCGACTGGTTTTACGTTGACGACGAATAGAGTTACCGTTATGGTATCAGAGAAATTCTGCATCGAATTGTGATCTAAAAGCCAGGAAATACGAGTATTTGTAGCCGCGAGACGATACGGATTCAGTTACCAGCTCGTGTTATTTAGTTCGCTGCCGGGAATGATATTTCTCTTGACGATGCGAGCGTTTCATTTTTGTCTCGTCAACGACCGAAACTATGATCGCAATATCACGGGGCAAACCGATGGGCGTGCGTGATAGCAGTTATTGACTGGATCCCCTCTTCGATTCGTTATTTTATTTATTTTCTACGCGAATCCGATGCATGTCAAAGTGTACCGCGTGCGAAACCAGCATCTGTCTACACGCGATGCAAATACCTTCGGGCCATATTTTTCTATCTTATGGATCGATGACCCGAAAATGTCGAAAACACGTTGTTACTTGAGAAACTTCAAGTGAACTTTCCACAGAACCCATTTAAACATGGTGTTCAATGTTGCGAATGAAAATCGAAAGACAATTTCAAAGCTTAAATCACATTTTACAAATTTCATTTTAACGGTTCAGAATGATCATTGAAGTAATTCTTTTTATTTGTGGAAGAATAAAAATACTTGCTCGTTTCGAGAGAGAAATTTTCTGTTTGACGTTGAAACAACTGGACGTCGCTGTACGATACGTCCGCGTTATAATATCAGAGTAATGGAACGGTGTATTTCAGCCTGAAATGCTCGCAATATAATTTGTCGGACGAAAATTGTTAAATTAATTAGAAGCCCCTTTGATAAAACGCGTGTCGCGAAAATTCATGTCTGGCCCCTGGTCTCCGCTTCATGCCATGCCAGTTCGATCCAATTTTTTCGTTCCTGTCATCCGCCATGTATTTCGTTGCAGAATAAAATTTGCACGAAAGCCCCTGATGTCCGATACGAACAGTCGTGTAGAAATAATGATGCTATACGAATCTGCAGAGCAAATGAAACTTTCAGAACGTGGATATGATTTTTTATCATTGCACCAGGTGAAAACTGACTTGCTCTTTTTTCGACTAGCTTTTTGTTCTGAACTAATAGTAAAAAAATATTCTTGTTAATTTTCTAAATTCTTCACGATTTCATTTCCTATTAATCAAGGCGACAATAATTAGAAATTCGTTGAACGAAAATTGTATCTTTAAAGGTACTAATGAAATATGTTATCTAATTAACAAAAGGAGTAGACGAGTGTGTAAATGATGTATCATGAGGAAAAGGGTTGCTTGCCAGATCAATCGAATGGCCTCATCGATCTAATTACAGACATCCTCTGCGGCGCTTCTTAATTGATTAATGGCAGATCTAGCGGTGTACAAGCAATCGTGGACGTTTTCAGAAGGAAAGCGGCATTTTAATTGAGATAAATACGTGTTAACCGTATGCCGAGATGAGCGGTATCCAAAGGCAGTCATAATTACAAGCGACTGCTTTGGCTGAAACCCGCGATAATATACAGGCTTTATCAAGGGGAGCGATCCGTGGATGATTATTATTAATTAGCCAGAGCCTCGTAACTACACGTTTACCCGACTGGAAATCCACTCGGAGATCTTCTCTCGTTATGTTGAGAATATATTTACTCTCGTCCGAGCATTAATCACGAAAATAACTGTCTAAGGAACTTGAAACCGAGAAACGAATCGGAGTCTTGATTATATTTGTCCAGCGGCTTCTACTCGAGAGGTAACGAACGAACGGAAGAGAGAACGATCAAGGATATTAAATAAAACACCGTTCAAAGTAATTGATTTAAAGACGATATTATAACGTTGGTAATAATTGTTTAATAATTTCTTATTAAATATTCAAATTTTTTAATAAGTGACCGCTTAATGTGTCTTTCCAAAAGAAATATGTCTGGTAATTAAGATTTGATATAATAAACTGGACACGCGATATCGTTTTTCAATTGGGTCGCGACGAATTAAGAAATTGTAGCTAATTAGGCAAATGAGATATAATTATTGCGCAAGTGCAACGGTAAATTCGTGAATTTTCCATAATGTTTATCAGCAGCGATCACGCGAACACGTAGCGAATCGATGCACCGGAGGACTGGTATAAAACGGGGAACGCATTAATTCTACGATTGCGCGTAAAGTATCCGAGGCTGTCGCGTTTATTCGTCGAACTTATTAATTTATGTCACGTAGCAAGGCGCCACGAGTGAGTTACGGTCCGTTCGCACGAAAGCACGTTCGCGATATCGAGTCATTATACGGATAAAATATAAATATTGTATCGTAATACAGGAGAAATGCAAACTGAATCGTTGTTGCGTAACCGTTATCCGTCGACTTCGTCTTTCCGATACCGATAGGAGGCAACGAGAATAGATCTGGTCAAGGCGTGGCTCGCGAAAATGAATTTTGCATTTTAACGTCGAAACCCGCGTCGATTCGTTTATTTACAGGCCGATCCGTAAAGGCGAGACAACGTTTTCGAATGTTGCGCAACAGCGACGAATTACGTACCTGTTGCGAGAAAAAATGAATTCACCAGACGATACAAGAGATGCTTCACCGTGTGTAAGTATACGACACTGGTACATCCACGTGGATACGTTATGCGATGCAAAAAGGGTGAATATCCTGCGAGGCACGTTCTCAGAATAATCGTTTGACCTGTCTACCGAAGATACTCGTTTTCCAATAATTCGACCCGCGCACCATGTAATTTACGATCGATCCAAGAGATTTTATTCTCGTAACGTAATTACGGTACGTTGAGTGATGATTTAATAAGTTGGAAACTCGTCGTGAAAATGTTAGACACAGCAGTCGAGTATAGATATATCTTATCACGTGTAATATTTACTTAACAAAATTTATGATTTACTATAAAAAAGAAAAAGATTGTATAATATTGATTTTAGCGCGTTTAAATTTTCGCGCGTAATTGTTAATCGACCCGCTCCGCGCTAAATCACCAACGCCGCCGTCTGCGCATGCGCGAACCATCTGACGCCGCACTGCACATGCGCGAACGATCTGACGCCGCACTGCGCAACGCGAAATGTAGTCCTTAATATGGCGTAACTTCGCGAGCACGTGGAAAATTTTGTCGTAATTTCTTGTCGATTTTGTGTAAATTTTGTGAACTGTGGTTTGTTTGTGAATGATAAGTGCTTCGTGTAGCGAACATTGAACTTCATAGTAATACGTAAGAGTGACTGGAATAAGTTATTGACTTCTAAATGACGATCGATCTAACCGGTTGTATTCTGTTTGCCTAGGGCTTCCAGCGTCCGCGGACCTGATTCGCCCCTCAGCTCGGAACTGACGCTCGACAAGCCTCGCCCCATACCATCACCCAGGTAAGCTTCTTCTAACCCTTTTTCTTCTCATCTTTGAAACCCAATGAAAAAACCTCGACCTCAATCCCGCGCGTAATAAACTCGGGGTTAATTGGAAAACTTGGCGGGAAAGTGTCGAAGGACTTTCTTTCTCACGGTCGTGGTTCTTCGTTCTCTCAAGGGCGTTGGCCCATATTAAGAGGACGCTAGGGAATTTTATAATGTGTCTTAATTGAAAACGGTGATTTAGGAAGTATTTTAACTTTATTAACTTTGCCTTCTCAAAGAGGTTAAAGGGATTTATTAAAATTGTTTAGCTTGGCATAAGATTAGGTTATGTTTTAAAAATGACATACATTTATAAAATAAACTTAGAATATAATCGCAGTTGTGTAATAGGTACGATATTACAAGACAGCTTGTATAACTTTTTGCATAATATCTCTATTACTATTACAATTAGACGATACTCGTTTCTTCGAATATATTATATTTAATTGAATACTTGCGGCTGATCGCGACAATAAAAATGGCGTCGTTACAGGGAATTAATTATCCGTAACCCGTGTCTCGTTCTTGTCAACTTTAATCTCTCTGTGTTCGCGTTCGAAGTGCTAATAAACCGTACATCCCGACGCGTGCTCTGGAAGTTCTATTTTTACCCACGACCCGTATGTTTCACCCTACCTGACGGGATTCACCCCTCGATGAAGTCTTGACGTTCGATAAGCCTGGCAACACAATAAACCATTCGCCGTGCACACTCAAACGCTTATTTTATTTCCTCATCGACACGTGGTATTTCCAGCTAGTCGATGGAGAACCGACACTCCCTCTGTGAACTCTCGTCACCTGACGGGATTCACCCCCTTCGCGTTCCCCGACTAAAACCACTTATTATCGAGCATCCACGCAGTATTCCTTTGTTTTTTTTTTTTTTCACTCTCCACCTCGTATGTTTCACTTTGAAAGTAACGTGTGAGAAAATGAAAAAATGGAAAGGTCGAGACGCGAGGCGGTAATTAGAGCCAGTGATTCGTTTTACCCTCTAATTAAGACGTACCGAGGATTTTCAAAAGATGTAAAATTTAACAATATATTTGCAACGATATTTGCATGCGTTTACACGGTTATTTATCCTGTTTTCTTTGCGAAATTTCCATAAATTTTCAATGTAAATCAGCGCGGTAAATTACGCCAGGAGCAATTGCTCTGCCGAGGTTTACCAAAATCACCGAACCCCGTTCCCACATTTTCGATAATACAAAACCGGTTAGTAATTTGATGGACCGTGGCCGAACGAGCGTTATATCCGAAATTCTCTTCGGAATAGTTGGTGAACGGTTCCGCGTACCAGCATCATTCGCATACTTGTTCCGCTATTTCTGTTCATCAATTTGAACTAGCTCGTGGCAAACAGGTCACTTGTAAGATAGTTTAACCACGAGTTGCACTTTAATATCCTGCAAATTGGAAAGTGTTTACTTTGCCCAGGCTATTTAAAACACTCCCATATATTCCTGTCGCGTTTCATTGCTTTCGATTTCATGAAAATATATTTTTACGATAATATTATCAAACCGATGAATATTTGATCGAAGAAAATGTTCATTTAAAACACGCGTTCTCGTTCGGTCGAAATTATCGGGAGAGCCGAGACAGGGGATAGAAGCATTTGAATTTAAGTTAATATTTTTACGGTCGATTCTCGTAAAATTTTCACTGATATAAGAGAACGAAATTGCGCGGAGAGAACAAAGATAACCGTGCGGTTATGCAGTGCGTATAAACGAGCCGCATAAAAATAAATTTCCTGTTGTGTAATAAACGTAAAATTTATAGGGTTCTTTGAATTTTTCGTCGGTCTATTCCACCACCAGAATGGACGCTGCATTTTATCACAGTCGATTTTACTGCCACCCCAAACTCGATACAAACTTTTATGATAACTCCCACGAATGATAAGGAACAGTTCATGTATATTCTTCAAAACGTGATCTATTTTTGGGGGAAAATCTTTCGCCATTAATTTCTTAAGCTATTCATGAATTCTGGAATGCTAAATGAAAAATTTCACGATTACTATAAATTTCTTTAAGGATCTCTGTCAATCATTACCGCTATTAATAATAGTAGAATAGCATTTCAGATGTAAATGACTATAGCTGCTGGATATCATTTTAGAAACCGATGTTCCATTAGTCGATAGCTTTGTAATTCCATCACCGTCATTGACACGTAAATGCAATTGTAACGTAATCGGTCATCGGCAGCAATAGCGAAGAATCAGCGAACGTTTCGCCATGGTGTTAAGTTGATCGGTTAAGTCGGCTACTTTTCCGGTTGCTCAATAACACGCGTTGGTCCATTAAAATGCGACACAAGGAGCACGTAATATATTAGACGATGTCAGAGTTCCTTGAAGAATGCTACTCCTATCCGTGAGAATCGAAGCTATTAGAATCTGAAAGAGACATTTTTATTCGAAACGACGGTAAGCGTTCGAGTCACAGTTCAGACGGCTAATAATATCCTTCGCTACTGTGTCCAAGGCTGTTCAGTTCATAATAATTTATGCTGTTTACTAAATGAATTTCAGATAGAAGAAATAAAATGAATAGTATATAGTTTATCAATTTAGGTTGGTCTTTATTTAGCGAATGAAATGTCTTACATAAGTGATAGGGTAGGGCCAATTTGACCTCGATCTAGAAAGTTTACGAGCTGTTCACTTTACCTAATTAAAAATATGACTGTAGTTACCTTAATGCTGCAATAGATTAACCCGTTGCGAAAGTTTAACCTGGAAAATTAATGTGTACTAAATTCAACAGAGGTAGTTCGTTAGATATACTATCCTTTAGGGGATGCTAGTTGTTCTAGTAAACAGGATACAGTATACATTAAAAAATAGTTAAAAATTTATAAGTACATTATTGTTGAAAAATTGTACAGCTGTTTTGAATGAAAAAGAAATTGCTATGAGTTAATGGCAATTCAGTGTCACATAGTCGTCGTGTAGTTGCAGAGTGGTGAAACGAAAGTTGGGAAACATTTTCGCTGGATAGCTTTCTCGTTACAAAAGGGGTGAAAAAAGCGTAAATCGGGTGAAATTCTTTTCGGTCTTAATGGCGAGCGTCTGCCGTGAAAATTCAACTAGCGGTAATGCAATTTCCTCCGCGTCGTTTTTGCTTCATCGGCCAGCATCGCTTTTAATTCGTCGTGACCACATCAAGAAGCCTTCTCCAGGATATAACAGCAGCCCCTTCTATATTTTCAATCCCACTTTCATTAATTAATTCCGAGAATCGTACTCGTCCCATTCATTCCAATATTGCGCTCTTTCTTGTCCCATCGTCATTTCCTTGAATACCTCTTTGAAAATTATCCTTGCTTGTCGAGAAAATCATTTTTAGATTTACGATATTAAAATGAATTTCAATGGACCTCATTATATAATATTACCAATTGAATGGTGCTGGAATAATTTACGGCAATCGTGCGTTCAATATGCATCAGAAGTAATTCATGTTTTCGTATTCGCATAATAGCGAATCGTTGAGAGGTACAAAAACGAATTTCCCCGGCGCGCCATGGATTGGAAAACGCGGTAAAAACGATTGACCATCGAAGCGATTAAATGTAAATTGGTTTATAATTTCGTTAGTTCGTGATGCGTTTCGTTGATAAACAATTTCCGATCGGAAAGCTGTTTTCGCCCCTTAATAAATTCGCCGTGCGTACAGATTATTCGCGCCCCTTTCGATAAATTCGCAGTAGTTAGTTCGTTTGTTTGCCACTTCTGAACGAGAACCACCCTTTTGTGGGGCAGTTTTAAACGTGCAAACGCACCCCTTTAGAGACTCCATCTGGACTCGCAACCCTGGTAACACCCGTACGTCTTTATCGACTGTTGCAGACAAATTCACCCCCTGTATGGAGAGAAGGCTGGCCTTCTGGGTTACTGCGATCCTGTCGGTAACACAGAGAATTTTCCACCAGCCCCTAATATCGTCGTCGAGGGTGGTAGAATCGAGTTTGTGCGCCCCTCGCAGGATGGCACCACGACACCCCGAAGGAACACCATGTCCAGAGGCTCGCAGACCTTCAGCGACGAGTCCGAGAAGTCTGATCCTGCGAAGGTAAGTCCATTTTTTCTTTTTCCATCGGTCGTTCAACCTCCAGGCTGTATTTGCTTAGACTGTTGCCTGTTTACACGTCCCTGGACAGACTGGACGACCAGTTACTGAACTACCGGTGGGTTTTATACCGACAAAACTCAGCTCCGAATTTCTTTCTTTTGGGTAAATAAGATGAAGACCGGGAAATCTCGGTTGGATAAATAGAAGCTCGAGGCAACACGGTTCCGCGTCTCTGAAACGATTTCACGATTTCAGGGCGCAGTTAAATAGTATGCTCGAATAAGGACGATCATCTATTCAAACATGTTTTATTTCTCCATAATGGGTTGAAGGTTTTAAGAGTTTAAAAGAGGAAAAGAAGAAATTAGTGGCGCTGTTTAAAGAAGCAAATTGTGATTTTTGAAATTTAATTGATCAACACAATTTTCTGGCATTTGCATTTTGACGAATTACGTTTCTTCGACCCGTTCGACGGAGAATTCAATTACTTGCGTTCTTTTAACCCTTCATGTTGTATTCATTAGACGTAACCATAATCGAATAAGTCGTAACGTGTGAAGTGCCTTAACCGTCAACCGACAGTCTGCGAGTGAAACCCAGGCAGCTCGTTAGCTTTTGGCTAAAATATCGCATTTTATTTTTTTTTCACATTCTATTCATTCTCGACTGACAATGTACGATAATTATACTACGCTTTCTTCGTTTTAACAAAACGTATTCAATGGGTTGAGAATTTCTCCCCACGTTCATTACGTATTTCTTTCTTTGCACCCTTGTCATTAAGACGTCCCTGTGGAACACGAATCTCCATCAAATTCTGTTAACATGGAGTTTCAGATTCTTTAAACGGACCAGAGATATTTCATTGATTAGCCAGGACAGGTTTAATGAAATCATGTTGGATGATGTCAGTTGCGGTTTGGAGGAGGTTCATAAATCATGTTCGACGAGCTCGAAATTTTCACCCCGGTTAACGTTGCTCGAACGAGGGAAAAGTGCGCGCAGATTCCTGCCGAACCCTTTAACCCTTCATGTTGTATTCATTAGACGTAATTGATTTTCTCGATAGGGCGTAGCAGGATTTCCATATTAAATTGGAGCGCGCGAGCTTTGGTTGTCGGCTGGTGCGTCGATACGCGACAATTATCCTGAAATTAACGACGTCTAGCGTCGCGTTGCGCCTCCGACGCCGCTAATTCTAACGACTTAACGCTTTGTTCTCGTTTGTTCGTTTCACGCTGTTTAACGTCCATTGCGGCTATTATTAGAGAAACAACGTGGCAAACGCGCTGTAACATTAACTATCAACAATTACAGAGATGAGAATTCCTTTTCAGAAGCGTTCTATGTAAAAATGATTAAACTCCTTCGAGGTGTCGTCACGGAGCATTTGCATGCGATTAATCAACCATCTTTCCTTTTCGCGTTCATTCAACCGGAGGAAAAGTCGCGTTAACGAGCGTATTATGCCAAATTTTTTACCACCGGACGAGAAATTAGGGGAGTCCCAAAAATTTCAACGCGATTCTCTCTGCGAAGAAGAACGCGTAATTTCGTTCAAATAGGGCGGCCCTTAATTACGATTTCATTTGAATGTGACGTATGTGCTGAGGAAAAATTTCATTTCAGCATGCTTAGAATCTCCTAGCGTCGATATTGAAGTTCCTCGCGTCAGTCAACGATGATTTTTCTGTAATTTTAGTCGAAACGGTTAGATTGAATCAGGATTCGCGTTCTTTTTATTAGCCGGGGTTAACGAGCTCTTTAATCGAATTCATCGAAGAGTTTCAATTTAATCCAGGTAGCATCGATGAGATCCTTTTACAAAATTTGTGCCGGAAACGAATAAATTACGGGACTGAATCAAGGAATTTTTTTCCGTGGTTCCGTGCGGTAGCTGGAGGAAAATTATTCGTAGATTTTTGCAGAGCGAGCAAATTCATTTTAATTATGAACACTCGGTGCGTGGTTGGGTTAAATAAGGGAGGGTAGGAATAAAATAGAGGAACGCGAGTGAAATTCATGCAGGAATACTTTCAGTTTACTTTTATATTATTTCGTAATTACCATGTTCGCTACTATCACGAATTCCGACCAACTTTCTTACACGAAGCGAATTAAATCGCGTAACGTTTGCTTTTAACCCGCCGTGCATTCTTTTCTCTTTTTGTGTAAATTTTAAACGCGTAAATTAATCATTTCAAACCTTTTCACGTGTTTCAATGAGTTGTATTTGCCGGATAAATAATAAATCATTTTGCGCTTAGAGGGAAACGTGAATAATTGAACGATATTCTCGTGGCGTTTCGTGTTCTTGGCAAATACACGGTTACATTTTTCTCTTGAAAGGTTTCAATTTTTCAGCTCACACTTTTTCAAGCTTTTCATTTTTTTGAAATAACGTTTACCTTTGGTATTTCACGAGATTTCAGTGTACAAGATTGTATTTGTATTTGGAATGAAAATCCAATTGCGTGGCTTTGAAATCACGAGCACAAGGGTTAAATAGCATTTGTAAAAAGCAAGCGATTCTAACGAATGGAGGGTTCGCGAGCGAGTCAATGCGCGGCGACTTTCTGGCACGCGCGTTCCCGTTACGAATAATAATTAATCGCGGCAGGAGAGTTGATTATGGCCCTATTCATCCAGTGGAACCGTTATAAATCACCGTGGACAGTACGTAGATTGTTCCTACGCGATCGCTACGACACTGTTGAATAAGCGAGATTTCGTGACGTAGCTTTTGTCGAGCAGCTGTTTCGTCTTCTAAACCCTACATCAAATAAGAGGAAGCGTGCGAAGACGCTGTCGATCGCGTGTTCTTTATTTAAAAAAAAGATATTAACAAAATAAAGAAAATTTATACCACGAATCAGTACAAATTGGTGCTCGTATCTGGTTTCGTTAGCGAATTTATAAGTAGCTAACCAGGGTGCAACAAAGTAAAGAAATAAACGGCTCTTCCAATTTATGCTAATTTTGGCCAGGAAACTTTTTACAACGCTTAATTCAATTAGTTCCGCTCTTTGATCGCTATAATTAGCATGTTCCACAGACGTTTGGTTTTCAGTAGGTAGACGCATAAAAACCTATGAGTAGTTTCATAAATTTTCGACGCGATCTTGCGCTCGTTTCTGTGTTTATTCAGAATTTCGAATCGCTTTCGAAACAATCGTGTGCCATAAATTTCACCCTTCAGTTTATTACTCCGTTAGCAACATTAAATGAAATCTTAACGAATGGTGAATTTAATCTTGTTGGTATCAGATTGGGAATAAAAATTAGCCGGTTTAATTGCTGCTTACTGTGGATAACTGTAAACAGAATTTTATTGAATTACGTTGAATGGAACTGTTGCGAATAGAAAACATTAAATCGATTGTTATACGAAAGTTAGCGCGTAGTTAACAACGAGAAAGAAGATCAACGAAGTATCTGTTTAACTTCGATACGGTGGAATCGAAACCGAAAGGGTGCTCGATGGAATTGGCGAGACCGAGTGGAGAACTTTTCCAGCGCTCCGTCGAGTGCTTCCAAGGGCCAATGATACGAAACAGACGTAACTGATTGCTGTTCTAACTTTCTCGCTGGCTCTTTGTTTCACGAAGGAACGCGTTAACAAGAAAAATGTATAAAAGCAAAATGCTACTGACGCTGTTGTCTGAAAGCGCAATAAAGGCGTAACGTGACTTACCTGTTCCCTCGTGCGGAAGAAGAAGTTTCTCAACGATGCCAGCCTGATGGCGTAGCAAAGAAAAGTAACGAGTGATCAAAGCAAAGTAATCCTCAAGGGTGCGCGAATCGTTGAACAAAGCAGTTCGTTTTGTTTCACCAATTAAAATATTCTCATTTATTTATCGCGGTTCAAGCGAGCGATTTTCATTGTCACACCTGCGAGTATTGTTTCAAAGATTTTTTAAGAAAATTTCTGGAGGATAAATTTCAAGGTCCGAATGTCCAAGACCAAATAGTATCTCGGTGTCCCTGATAAGAGGTTCGACATCAGGGTAGCGTTGACCCAGGTGTAGGTTATCTACGGCGATCATTAATCGAAGGGATTTCCCTCGGACTCGATGTTATCGTGTAAGATTTTAAACGGCAGCCTGGATGGAGCATAAGAACGACTAAGTACGAACATAAAAATGTAACAGGTGATAAATTGTTTCTCCTCCTAAGTCGTTCTTGGGTAGTTCAGATTTTACGAATGATGAATGAACCTTCGTATACGGTTTTAGCGAGCGTACTTACACGTTGCTTATCTCGCATCGCTTTGCATTTTAAATTTTACACGTGCCGTAATATCTTGGAGCTCTTCCTTTTAGTGTTTCCAATTTGTTATCAGCTGATAACGTTAATCTATCGCAAGCATAATTGTGTTCCAAGCAAAATGTTTAGATTTTCCAACCTTGAACCTCTCAGAAGAGGAGATATTCTTGATTCCCTGGCAGAAGTTATGTTCTTGGAGCAACTATAATTGATTTCAAAAGTGAGAACGAACTTCTCCGCGTCTCTAGCTAAGTTCGCATGCATTTAACGTTCGCTTAAACCAAATTAGGTGAACTTTCGAGCAGCCTCTTTGAGGGAAAATTTTTAGGCAAAATGAAAAACGTCGCGGTCGAAAATTAAAGGGACTACGAAAAGGCCGCGCGCACTTATCCCCGGATATTAATTGAACCCGTTGCGTCGTTGAAAATTGTCGTCTAGGCGCTTTCATTTCTGAGAGTCTCGTGTCGTTTGGGTTTTCATTAAGTCTCGTTGAAAATTACACGGTGAAAGAGCGTGAAACGCGGTCTCCTCTGCTTCCCAGGGCGTACGGCTGGCTAGCAGAGCGGATTGAATAGGTCAACAATAGGGTGGCGAGGTCGTTCGAAACGAAGGGTGGCTCCACCCTCGGAAATTTTGGCGAATTTTCTTCGTGATGGACACTCCTGCATTGTGTCCTCCATAGGAGCGTGCAGCTTTGAACGACGGGAGCAATAATCGCTGTCGAAGCAATAGTA